CAGAGTGAATGCCATATGGAAACAATGACTCGAGCTGGGCAACCTTGGAATGTGTATTGTATGCTCATAATATCTATTCTTTTAATAGTCCATGCAGTAAAAAGAAAAACTATGAAAATATTGCTTATATACACAGTATGCTTCAATTGGCCGATCTGTCAACATGACGTATGATTGATAAACTTAGAATGCTTTAGCCTGAATGCTGTTGGCATCTCTCGATTGGCCAGAGACATAGCTAATGGATCACAAATCTTCAAATTTCATACAAGCAGATGCCATAGATTACCACAAATTGCAAAAGTATATATGAGTCGATATGAATGCCAAGTGTGCTATAAATAATTGTTTGTGCGTAAGTGAGTGGACTGAATGCAAATACCGAAATGCCGATACATTGAGCAGATGCGGGTTTGAACCGCAGGACTTGTACCTGACATCCACAGAGATCCGATGGTAAGTGCCAGCAGCATGAGATGCGTCTGTCGCCTCATATTGTTGTAGCTAGTATTATGTAGATGTCCTTATCACTTTTCTATACGAAATATTTCTGATTTTTTCTTAATTTTATTTGCTTTTATTTGCGATAACGAGAACCCGAGAAACCCGTTCACACTGAGCGACACTGAGAAACTGAACTTTTGCGTGGGTTGCTTTGGTTGTTTGGCCGCTTCACTCGTGGCGTCGCGCCGCTTCGCGTCGCTTCTCGCAGAGCACAAGAAGAGCACACCACGAATCGTGTAGGACGACTGCAGCATAAGAAAAAAGGAAATAAAAACGAAAACTATGCGAATGCGAATGCGAACGCGAATGATGATGGGCGATGACTCACAGCTCTGGCGAACTTGCTGCCCAATTGGAAATTGGGTAGGAGCCCAGCGAGGATACAAGGTATATTGACATGTCTCCCCACTGGAGTTTCACATTTGGTATGCATCGCATGCCCATGCGCGAATGCGACCACAAAATGAAACTTCACAAAATAACAGCCAGCCAGCCCATGGCCTAAATGTCGTAAAGCTGTTGACTTATCGAGGGTGTTCACATCACTATACACTATGTGTAACCATATACCTATGTATGTATGTGTGTGTGTGCAGCAACGTTACGATGCCTAGGTCAGTGCAATATAGAATACACTGTAAAGGAAGAAGGCATAAGGCTTGAAGTTGAGTAATTTATAGCTCATTTGGGAATGGAAAGTTCGAAATTTTGAAAGATTCGAAAGTTAAGCTAAATGTATATTAAGAAAATTTGATATATTATATAAAAATATATAGAAATGCCATGTCTTCAGGCTCGAATGTATGTTAAAGAATTGACTTTTAATTATGCTATAATAAGATTTTAACTTTAAAAAAATACCACAAAAGTTCAAAACAAAAAATATGGTATTTATAATATGTATATATAATATATATGTATATACTCTATGATTTGACACAAGCTAATTTATTAAAAAAAAAAAACGTTTATATCATTTTTTTATTATATGTTATATATTAGTATTCCTTGTTTATTTTGTGTTTTAAAACTTTTCTTTTAGTTTTGCTTAATTTTAGTATACTTATGTATAAATGTTATTCAATTTTTATTTATTTTTTATGGTTATTATATTTTGTATTATTATTAACTATTTTTTTTTTAAATATTTATTTTTTATTTATTTTATTACTTTTATTTTTTATGATAATTATTTTTTAGTTTATTCTTATTTTATTACTATTTTAATTTTTATTATCTTTTTTTATTGTGATTATTATTATTATTATTTCTTAAATTTAATCTTATTATTTTGTTTTCTTAAAATATATATTTATCATGATTTTATTTGTATCCTTTTTTTCCCAGTGCATGTTTACATGTGTGGAGTGAGTATATTGCTCAGTAGAAGATTGAAATTCTTTCGCACATTTGCTGACACTTCCAATTCCAAACCAATTACTTCAGTTGCTTTTGCTGAAACTGTGGGTCCTGTTTCATCCATCATGACTGCTCTTTTGCACAAACACCACGCAAACAACCCCCGACACACACTCCCACACACTAACCATGCTTGTTCGACTGTACATGCGTGTGCGTGTGTCTGTGTGAGTGTGACTCGCGTTGCCAACTGTGTTGAGAATAGTTTCTAACGCTCTCTTTGCTGTGCTCTCTTAACCGGCGGCTGCGGAGTCTGCGCAGCGACCGAGATAAGAGGCTGCTAGATACTATAAAAGATCTTTTCTGTTGCTTAATGCAGACATTGCACAGCTTTTTAACCAACACACAGATAAAAAGATACCCATACATATATGTGAATTGTCGCTGTTGTTTATTTGATTAATTTGTTTTCAAAGTTGTAAAGAAATTCTGAGAAAATTTGGTGAATGACGGCCGCCGCTGCCGCCGCTGTTGCCGCTGTTGCCGCCTCAGCCTACCAACAACAATGTGTGCGTTGTCTACGTGTAAATATAAATATTTGATTAATATCCTCGCATTGCTTTGCTTTGCTTTGCTTAGCTTAGCTGCAGGCGCGAACATGTGCAGTTGAAGAGGAGAAAAATCTCAGATGCTGCTGACTGCTGACTGCTGCCCCAAATCTGGAAATTTTGCGGATGTTTACAAAACTTGGCAACCAAGCAGCCCAAACAGTCCCCAACATAAGACCAACACAAACAACAAGATGAATGTCCACACACACACACACGCACACACACCCAGAGATATAGAGATGCATAATGCATCCGCGAGATACTCTCGCACAATACGCACTTTGTTTTATGTCGTAGATTAATTTTAATTGTTTGTTTGCCTCGCTTCAACTCGACAAGATATCAGCAAATGTTGCATTGCATGTTACATGTGTCTTAAACTCTCATTGCAGACACTGTCTGCCAGCGAGCATCATATCTGCATCTGTATGCGCTGCTCCCCCCAGTCAGCCTCCGCTCTGCGTGCTGCTGGAGCTGGAGTAAATCACAGCCGTTTGCCAATCGTTGCGCTTCCCATACACAGCGTTGCTGGGAACGATTGCAATTTTCATTAAGCAAACTGCAACTGCAACTGCAACTTTAGACTGCAGACTGCAGCAGCCGACGCGAAATGTATCTCACTGCGGCTGGCTACTCGCCTCTTCTCAGAAGCTGCATGTAAACATATTTAAATGGAAAACACCAGAAAAATTGCTCGCTACGAAAATTTGCAATGCCCAATAAATACGAAAGTATTTAGCGCAGGAATGCCTTAAGAAGATAAACATGATATAATTACATTTCCTTCTCCATGCCTTTTTGCCAGCAGAATACCAAATTAATTGCCAACCGATTGCCTTTCAGCTAACCCACATATAGTATATGCATGCATTCATGCATATGTTAACATATTTGTATAAATATGTCAGTAGCTGCTTTCACATATGTAATCTGAGAAGCTTAATGTGAAGAAGCAGATAGAAGAGTGAAGGGGGAAGATGGAAGATGGAGGATGGAGGATGGAAGATCGAAGAAGGATGATTGAAGATGGAAGATGAAACAGATAGAAGATAGAAGATAGAAGATAGAAGATAGAAGATGGAAGATGAAAGATGAAAGATGGAAGATGGAATTCTAATATTTTCCTATTCTCCTTGTTCCTTTTGTCTATATAAAAACTTACTTAAAGCTAGTATACTCACTTCACTTCCTGAAAGGGTATGGAAAAGTACAATTTTCCAATTCAGTTCAGAGTACAAAAGCTCTCAACAGTAAAGTCATTTGCCAATCAGGAAACTCAGTTGAAACACTTGTAAATTAAATCGACTCAAGTTTTGTATTATGAATCGTTTCCATATATTATAGATTTATATAATCTGATTATTTTATGTGTTTTTGCCTGGCATTTCCGCAATTGAACAAACCAGCAGCTAATATATGCCAAATCAACTGCCTGCTTCGCTTGCAAAATAATCATCTGTAGGTAAATAATTTTTAATGAGCTAAACGATTAACGACGCATCGAATGAATAATTTATGGATTAAAAAGCACGTCAATCACACGCTCTGATTGAAAACATGCCAGAAAACTTACAAGAAAAATAATGCGCATGGTTCACTAGTTCAGAGAACACTTGGAAAAACTTTAAAAACAATTTTCCAATTTGAATTATAAAAACATTTTAAAAAGATTTTGAAAATTTTTAAAAATTTTAAACTAAATATTCGGGTTTTCTATGCCTTGAAGTAAGAGCTAAGTTTAGATCTCTAGCTACTTGAAATTATAAATATTTCTGCAAAAATCTCATCTAAAAACTGCTTTATACATCATCATAAGCTTCACAAATTCAAAATTCGCAATGCTATTTTCCAAAAATAGAAATAATTTGAATTTTTATATATAAAAATTCCCATTACATTTCGATAAGGAGGTTTAAAAGTGCATTTACAGTTATTCATTTTATATATAAATATATTTATGTATATTGTGTATACAATATTATATATTTTCTATTAAATATATTTTTAGTGTCCTTTACAAAGTCATTCCATTTATTAAGTAGTAAAACGCTTTAAGAGCAAAGGAATGGAGGCAACGCGCGCTTCTCTCTTCTCTTTATACACAGTTGCGGCTCTCTTTAGCCATACTCTCTGGCAGTCACTGCTGTCGCTGTCTCTCCGCCTCTGCAACCGCCGTCAACGCTGGGCCAGCAACTATGCGGCGAACATCATTCGTTTTAGTGCTCTTGCGGCGAACAGTGCAGTGAGCCGAAGGCCGAAATCTGTCATAGAAAGCCGACAGCATAAAGCCGAAACCGTCCGAACGAATTGGAAATTTCATTTCATAATTCGCGCCTCGCAGACAATCCGACAGAGACGCGTTCGTGCAGTCAACTTTTGTGCGTAGACGCGGATCGGAACGTTATCGACTGGAATTGTTCCCCTGGATAATTGTGAACAGAAAGTTTGTGGCGTGAAGTGTGAACGAAGCTAGAAATCAAAATACTAAAATAACAAGAAAGCATAAATAAATAAGAAAATAAAAAAATTACAAAGCAAAATAATTGGGCTCTCTTGTGGAAAAGTGCTGAATATGTAGGCTGAAAACTGGGACATTGAACGCAACGAATTCGACTTCAATAATTAATTACTCGGCAATAATTTGGTATTTTGTGGGAAATCACAAGAATAATAAACAAGCACAGACGAAGACGTGTGACACAGTTTCAGAACTTTTTGGACGACGCTGCCAGAATATATTCCCCAATTACTATTATCATATTACTTTCGAGTGTCGAGCAGTTAACAGAGACTACAAAATGGTGTCGAGAACAGTCCGAAAGAATCAACTTCTACTGCTCGCAGTGCTATTGATCGCCAGATCTGCCCTGGGTAAGTTTTTGGTAAAGCAAACTATATATATATATGTATATATATGTATATATAATCCAAGTTTTAGTGCAACGGAAATCTGTTGCAATTGCAAGCACAATCTAATCTCTGTGCGGAGAGACCCTTTGAACTGACTCGTTCGACAGACATCAGATTCAAATAAATACAAATGATTGTGTGTTGTGTGTGTGTCTATGGAATTTATTGAACAATTTTTGACCTATATAAAAAGTATTCTATAAGTCAAATGCTCTGAACTTTGAACAGTATTAAAAGATTGACGAATTCTTAGGGCAACTATTTGCTGTGATTCACACTCAGCTCGGAGGATTAAAGGTCGCTACTTGGTAGAGATTTATATAGATCCTGGGAATTAGAAAATTCTATTTATATATTTCGATCACATACTTTTGAGGTGATCAAATTCTGGGAAAGAACTTGTGAGCGCGTCTGTTAAATTTTTGGCTAAAAAGTGATTCACTCTAGGGAATGCCTCACAGATTTCCTAATAAACTTAATCATTTATGTTGACATTTGGATGAAAGCGAAACGAGTTTTCAGCTATTGCTCAATCATAATGAATAGATAAATATTACCTGTTTTTGCGCGCTGAATGCAAACTGTAAAAATCTATAATTTATAGGCGAAAGCTGTCACATTAATGCAGTTATTTATCACGATCAGCCAGCACTCCCTCGATCATGTGATATATGTATGCAGGCACTCATTCAATCGGAAGTGAGTTTGCCAATCTGCTCGACGGGGTGTATGTGTGTGTGTGTGTGTGTGCCATTCATTCGCATATCGGTTACGCTGTTAATTATTCCATAGATGCCTAATAGGCGACAACAAAACAACAACAAATGCAAAATCAACAACAGGAAGCACAATGAATGAGGATGTTAGCAACAGTAACCAGGTAAACAGGGTAGGGCATACAATGCTATATACCGCAGCTCCTTGTTTCGATTTTGGTTAGGGAAGCGTGTCGCAGCAGCGTGAGAATGTGTATTTGCTGAGCAGAGATGCTATGACCCACTGGCTGTAGCCCCTAGGCGGCACTAACTCCTCTGCAAGCTCTGTTAACCCCTTTGGCCATAAACAATGCGATTGCTATCAGTTTGATTGGCTTGCCGAGGGTGCCGGGTTGCCGGGAACCTCTAAGGCTGCCTACCAAAAGGCCATCGATATGGACGCATTAATATTGGGCTCAAATTCCTCTACCTTGACACGGGTAAATGAGCTAAATGCTCATCAGTCTGGCGCTGTTTGCTCCGGCCGTGTCTTGTCTACCTTTCTTATTTGCTCTTTTTCTCGGGCATTGAGTTTCACGACTGCGAATCTGAGAATGGGTCGACTGTGCTCCTGCCGCCAGTCACGACAAGGGGCTCGGTTTGTCTTTTGCATAATTCTTCTGCCATTTGCATACATATTTATTTTGGAATCTCTGACTCACGCCAGATACAGGCAACGTCTGTATGGCTCCTCTACAGATGCAAGAGATACGAATGCAGATACGAGTTTTATGTATGCCGCTCGATTCATTCGCATTGCTCATGCGCTGCCGCAGATGGGGGCACTGTGGCATGGGTAGCGGCGGGGACAAAGCGAGTTAAACAAACTCGTAACCAATTCTCGACAATTAAAGAATCAATTTACTGAACTGAGCTGGCGAATTGGCGGCTCATGCTGCCACTGTTGCATGCCCCCGCTGCTGCTGCGGCTGCTGCTGCGGCTGCGGGTGCGGATCGGTTTGAGATAGAGGCAGGGTTCAGCTTGAGTCGCTGTGTGTGCACTCAACTGGGGCAACAGCAGTCTGAGGCGGGTATTATTATTATTTGAGCATGTGTGTGCTTGTGGCATGCTACATTCAATGAGTGCTCCTTAGTATATAAGCACTCATGCTCTTATATACTCTCTCAGCCTTATAGCTATATAAATTGTGCCACATTAAAACATAAGAATTAATCGTTTCGATCGCAATGATGACGATGATGCTCAAGCTGATGATGATGATTCAGCTGCAACAGCAGCTACACAGCAAAAGAGTTTAACTTTGTTTAGAGAGTTACTTCGTGTTCCATTGTATTCTAATAGAATCCATTTTTGATTGATCTTCGCTGAGCTTTCGATTTTCATTAATGCGCCTTAATTGAATCAACAAACATTTATGAATCGTTCAAAGTTCCTTAGACCAGCATTTTATAAGCAACTTTTGTGGTATTGTCGAGAATATTTTTATAATTTTTTAAAATATATAAATATTAATAAATATCGTATTTAAGCAAAATGCAACAGAGTATGGGCTTAGCTGAGCAACGGCTTGGCTTAGGCTATGCTTGTGGCTCAAATGGCTTTGACTCAAGTCGCAATTTGCTAGAAATTGTTTATTATAATATTTACATTGTATATTTATTACATAATTTTTTTTAATATATAGGTTTACTGAAAGATTTTTGCACATATTGTTGAAGCCAATTTCCATCCGATATATAACAAAATTTTGTTTTGCAAACTTCATGCATCAAATTTTAATGCAATCAAGCATATTTTTTTTAAATTGATTTTATTTATAAAAATAGAAACAGAATTCCACATTCAATCAGAATTTCAATAAATAATCAATTAGCTAATGCTGCACAAAAATTTATTTTTATTTTGAATTTTTTTTGTTCAATTTTCAATTAAATTTTTCAAAAATTTCGTTTGACATGCAAAATAAGTTTTGTTGTTGTTGCTTAGAAATCAGTTTTGAGCTGAAGTAAAATATGATTTGAGCTGTATTGGAATGCGATATCGAGGCTTATTGATGGCTGTGGGGATATCGCGCCATTAGGGGGTTCCAGCACACATGAAAGGGAATGGCCGAGGCGAGGCAATAAATAATACAAGAGCCGCAATGAAATGAAAGAAAAAGAAGAAGAAGAAGTAGAATTGCTGTTGCCTTTTGCGCTAAATAGTTGGCGGTGCTGGAAAAGGAGTGCCGCATATTAATTACATGTCGCAGCCGCAGCCGCAGCCACTTGAATGGAACACGAGCCCTAGGCCAAGCCAAGCCCTGCCCGGCAGCGCCCCCCAAATTGGATAGAAGCGCGCTTTAGTATGCGCTGGGCGTACGTCTTCAACTCGGAGCTGGACTTGGACTGTGCTAGCTTCTGTCCATGCGAGCGTCTATTGTTGACCTATAGGATTTCAGTGTATACACGATGTATACACTTATATATATATACATATATATACGTTCATGTATATATAGACATCGTTTTTTTTTTGGCTATGTGCCCGCATCTAAGCACTTGGCGCAGCGACTCATAAGTGCCAACACGTGCACTTTGGGCAACGGGAAACGCTGTCCATGTTCCCCCTTGGCAGCGTGTGTGCCAGAAATTTTGAAAGGCGCTGCCTGGCGCTGGCTGTTAATAACTCTGGCGAGGCACGCACAATGTAACTGGGCGGCCCAGTGAGTGAAATCGATGTACTTCGTCTATATTTGGCTGCAACTGTTGCTGGGCCGCAATCTAAGTGCACACAGATTCGAATCGTACTTTCATTTCTATTGCTTTGCCCACTTGATCGGCTTCAATTGCATATCGATTATGGGACAACACGCTCGAGTCGATGGCTAAGTACATTGATTTGCATTTTCGAGTCGAACAGCTTTCGGTAATTGCCAGAAAATGCGCTCGGCACACATCTGTCGATTCAATCCCCTTGACTGGGCGCAGGACACGCGGCCTTTCAACTCTAATTGCAAATTGTGAATGCGAATTTCGAATGCGACTGCATCTGTGTGGGTTATTTGTCAATGGGTGTTTGTTCTGTGAATTTGCTGCACATCTGCCTCGACCTGAGCCCCAGCAGTGCGTAGGTAGAGCTGGTTGGCTGGCTGTCTGGCTGGCTGCCTGCCTGTCGGTCCCTCGGGCCGTAACCTGATCGCTTTCAAAGAACCAGAATGCCATTATCATTATCCGCTTCGCTTCATGTCTCTATCTGCCACCATCCAACCGCCACACAAACAGCATAATTTTCGGCTCGTATAACGCACTCGTCAGTTGGCCAACCTGGACCCGAACATGGGACCAGCAGGGTCAGTCACGTAGGGGCTGGCGGCTTGAAAACCAGAAACAACAACAGTCACAGACAGACAAACAGCCAGCCAGACAGGCAGGAGATCAAAGATCAGAGCTGCAGAGCGCTTTTAGGCCTCGGCCACAAATGAGGCACTCGCGCGGCTTATCAGGTAGTAAAAATGCTGCACTTGGATGATTCCAGTGACTGGCAGAATCCAGTGAAGGCAAAGACTTTGCCCGCCAGGGCCATGGCCATGGCTACCCAGTGGTCAGCGGCATTCGGGTCAACTCTAGGGGTTATTAGCCCAACATTTTTCAAGAATCATTCTGCCTATGATAAATGGTTTTTGGCCTAATTCTGAGTACCAATTAAAGCCCGGAAAAAAACATAAATAGAAACAAAACAACAGCAAAACAAGATCAGCGCACAATTGTTATCTTAAGCATTGAAAGCATGAACAGCAAAATATAATATTCATTCCCTAAGGTACAGATTTCCTGTACCATATGCAGCATTCAAAGAGGTTTATTTTTTTTTATTTGAAAATAAAAATAAATTTAAGATAACATAATTGCAACAAAACTATGTTTCTATTATTTTATACATATTATTTGTTTTACATATAGATTTTAAAAATAATTTTCAAAATTTTTAAAAAAATTTAACATAATATAATTAATCAATATCAATTTTTTAGCAAAATAAATTTTAATTTTTTTTTTTGGCATTTTTTTACTATAATTTAGACATTTCTACATATGTTTTAAAAAATGTTGTGCCTAGTTTTAAATATTTTACTAAAGGAAAATTAAATATAGAATAATATAAAACTAAAAAATTTTCTTTTCTAATATCTCCTACATATAAAATTGTTCTGAAAAATAATTTTTAATTTAAAATGTTATTTTTTTTGTATTTTTTATACTTTTTTTAAATGTCTCATTTGTTTAAAAATTTGTTTGATACCAACAAAATATTTTTAATAATTCGTGCTTCATCTTCAAATATTTTTTCGATTATAAATTTGAATTTTATTTTTATTTTGTCTTCTACTTAAACAAAAGATATCCGCCTTAAGTTCGCATAAACTTTTTTGCATAAATAAATAAAATATCCGTGCTTCATTATAATAATAATGGCACATGTTTCCACACTTGACCAAAGCGCAAATGTCTTGAGCAGCGGCTAGGCCTTATGTCTTCGACATATTTCAACTGCAACCATCCATTGTTGTTGCGCCCGTTTCTGGGAAGCGGCAACAATTTCTTATTATTGTTACTTGTGTTAATGGCACAAGTTTACGACAAAGAGAAGTCGATGGGGTCAATGCGTCTGTTCGCTTTATATCATGAAGGAAATTACATCCAAAAAAAAAAGAGTTTCAATTTATTTTAAAATTGAGGGCGGGCGCTGCTGCCCAAACTCAAGCGAGTTCAGTCAACTACATGCTGGCACATGGCTATTGCCATATCCGTATTAAGCTACTAAAACTAGAGTCCCTCGGCACGTAAATACCCTGTAGCATGCATAAATGGGTATACCCTGCAGCATGTGTAAAATGTATACCTATTGCTGCAGTTTTGTTTAGAGTGTTAAGAGTTTAGTCGCAGTTTAAGTTAATTGCAATAAATTTCTAGGGTATTCTACTAGTCGTGCATTTGCGTATCAACTTTATCAGTTGTTTGTTATTGTGCCAGTGTCCGATCTATATGACAACTAACAATTTCAACACGCAACGCTGAGCAGCAGCGGCGGCGACAAAACTGGCTATAATAAAGTGTGTGTGCGAGTGTGTGGGTGTGTGCGTGCGTGTGTGGCAAAGAATAATACAATAAAGAAAATAATAAAAGAAAAAGCAACAACCATAATGCAGCCAGTCACACAGAGAGAAATGGCAGAAGCGAAATACAAATGTAAATTTAAACTTTTTCACAATCGTCAAAATGTTTCCCTCTTCCAATTTTACTCCCGACACTTTGTCTGCCTCGAGGAGCGAGGGTGTGATGTGTCCATGTGTGTGTGTGTGTGTGTGTGTGAGTGTGTGTGTCTGGCCATGCACTGCAGTTGCCAGAGTGAAAATGGACATTGTTGTGAAATGTTATTCGATTTTGTGTCCACTGTCGACACCACCAAAACAAAGTAGCACAAAGTGACGCCGACGGCGAAGTTGACTGCGGCAGCGGCAGCGACGCCAGCAGCAGTGACAGTGGCAGTGGCAGCAGCTACTGTCCGCATAAGCCATGCCGTCAACAAGCGTATGCACACATGTGGGTGCGGCGATCGGCCGACCGACACGGCCCGGCGTTGGGGTTGGGGTCGGGGTTGGGGTTGGGTTTTTGGTGTCGGCTGGCGCAGTGTTTTCTCTTTCCATGCGCTTATTTTAATTTTCCTGTGCGTTTTCGTATGGCCCGTGCACCCGAGTTTCATTTGACCCCATTTCCGTGAAATGTTTTTCCATTCCACTTTGACAAAACACACACACACACACACACGCGTCACGCATGTGCATATATATGCTATGCACGCTATAAAGGAAGCAATGAATATTTGGGAATGTGAAACGCGTGCAAAAATATGCGAATTGGCTTAACTCGACCGTGCGCAGCTGCGCTCGGATCTGCCAACTGTATCTGTGTGTGTGCATCTGCAAATATATGTTTGATTGTGCGTGTGTATCTGTATCCCTACATCTGTATCTGTATGCGAGTAAATGTATCTGTATCTTTATTGCAGCTTCATCTCTGCCTGCATTTGCATCTGCATCTGCATCTGCATCAGCACATATATAATTATACATATATATATATATCTGTATCTGTATCTGTATCTATTTATATATCTGCTTCTGTCTATGTAGCTGAGTATATCTGCAAATGTATTTGTTTATGCATCTGCATCTGAATTTGCATTTATATCTCAACTTGTATGTTTATTTGTATCTTTTTCTGCAGTTCCATTTATATATGCATCTTTATCTTCATATGTATCTGTATCTGAATATCTGAATATCTGCAAATGCATCTGAATTTATATCTCTTAAATGTATCTGCATTTGTATCTGCAAACGTATCTGTATCTGTATATGCATATGTATCTGAATATATGCGTAAACGTATCTATGTTTGAACTTATATCTGATATTGTATCTATATCTGAATATATCTGTATCTGCGTCTGCATCTATATCTATATATCTATCTGCAAATGTATCTGTAGCCGTATCTGAATATATCTACAACTGTATCTGCACCCGCATCTACATTTTTAGCTGAAAGTGTATCTACAAATGTGTCTATATATATCTAGACATATATCTATACCTCTGTCTTTATCCCTATTCCTATCCCTATCTCTATTCTGATCTCTATCTCTATTCTGATCTCTATCTCTATCCCTATCCCTATCCCTATACCTATCTCTATGCCAACCCCTATCCCTATCCCTATCCCTATCCTTATCCTTATCCCTATCCCTATCCTTATCCCTATCCCTATCCCTATCTCTATTCTGATCTCTGTCTCTATTCTGATCTCTATTCCTATCCCTATCCCTATCCGCATTCTTACTCCTATCCCTTTCCATATCCGTTTCCGTATTTGTATATACTCCCATCTTTTTCCTATCTTCATCTATATCCACATACATGTGCATAAGTGCTTAAACAAACAGCATCATCAACACCGCCTGATGAGTGGCCATAATGCATTGGCAAAACAAAAACTTTCCGGTTTGAATTTCAATTTGATTCAAGTGCTCAAATGTTTAGCTAGCAGGAAATGTGGGTCGTAATGAGCCAAGTCCATCTACAGCTGCAAGCAGCACGCAAACAATCAAGTTTTGTTTTTGTTATTGTTTTTCTTTGTTTCTATTTCATGGTTGTTTTTATCGCTCCATTGTTTTTACCAAATAGTAATAATTTTTGTTATTCTGAATATGCGCTGCAGTTCAAATGCGCTCGTAAAACTTCAGCTAATCAGATCGTAAAATGATTTGAAATTCAAGGTTGAGCCACCCACGCTTTTGTGTGGGATGTCGACTGCGTTCTGTGGCCTATTAAAGCAAATCTTTAGTGCTCAGTTCTTTTATGGCGACAAATGGGATTTTTATGAAAGTTTTTCAAATAATAATTAAAATTTCAATAATTTCTAGGCTTCCCATCAACGACGGATGTCCACGACTTAATGCTGAATGATGACTACGATTACGATACCGACGAGCCGAGTGCGCCCAGTCCACAGACGAAGCCAACGGGTGTTGCCAATGCCTACCTGCCGCTAGTCAACCGGACTCTGACCAAGACGGGCATACTGGGCGAAGATGTTGTGCTGAAGTGTGATGAGAACATTACCGAGGGTAGGTTTCCAGGCGAATCGATGGGCCATCGCAGCTAATCGAATTATTCTTTTCAGCGAATGTCATACTCTGGTTCCAGGACTCCAAGATGATTACGAGCGACCGCAGCGTGGTGCTGCCCAACTTTAGTCTGAATCCGAAGAACTTCGACCTGACCATATTGAAGGCTAGTCCGCAAAGCGCTGGCACGTACAGCTGCCAGATCCTGCCCCAGAATGTCTTCGTCAGCACAAAGGTCGTGCTGGGCGATCACTCGCTGGACGTCATCACGCCGGAGAGCTCTCGGTCCGGCCAGAACAGTTTGCAACGGCTCGCGCTCCTGTGGCTGCTGTCCGCGTGCCTGGCTCTGGCGCATCAGCTCAAACATTAGTTAGGTTTAGTATTAAGCAGTGCTTCTTTATAAACAAAAAAAAAAACAAAACGCAAAGTGTCCAAGGATAAGCTGAAATTGTATTTCTGTCTTCTGTCCCCTTCTCTCCTTCTGTCTCCAATAAGCTTAAGTAATTGTTAATCGTGCATTTTGCTGCTCTGTAAAGACAAACGATTTTATTTATTAAAAACCAAAGTATACAGAAATTTAAACTATTTTCATTGCTACTCAAATAAGGAAAGCTATGGAAATACTATTAAAAAATTATATTTTTTAATGTGTTAAATTGAAATTTAAAATTCAAGTCTTAAAAAAGAATTGGCTTAAGAATTCTTGATTAATTTCTAAAATATTCGAAATTAGTGTAGATTCTTTGTCTTTAATTTCTTCGATTTATTTAACATTGACATGCACTAAATTAAATGATTAAATTATTCTTACTTTGTTTCAAGCCAACTCAACTCGAAATTCGTTAATATCAAAAATAAAGCTTCTGGACCGTAGCGAACTACAAGATAAAGAATTGACTGAATTCAAAGGAACTGAATTGAACCAGCTCAAGATCAGTCGCTGAGCATATTGAGCTTAAATGTTATGTTATTTAACTATAAATAAAAATTGCTTAACAAGGATTTTGTCACTAGTCTATACTAAAATTACTCTGTCTGAATTTTTACTAGTGATTTCGAATCTGAACAGTTTTATTAATAATAAATTTTTGCATGTCTTTTGAATATATCTGTTAGCTGCAATGTTCAAATGGAGGTAGGCAGCTGACACCTTAACTCTCAGGTTAGATACAAATCTTATTGGAGTTACACTTTTCAAAATTACTCTTTGATTTCACTGAAGAACTCTTGGCTTGTTTCTAAGTAAATCAGAAGTTGAGTTGCCCACACTTAAAAATATTTTTAACTTAAAATTTCTTTTAAATCTTGGACCCGATTAATCCAATAAGAGTGCAATGAAGAGTTTTTTGCTTTATTTATTTCGGTATGTATATATATATTCTTAATCGTCGCATTAACTAAATTAAAGGAGAAAACATTACAATATTTGTTTAAGACACTGGCTTTTAAATATGTTCTCATGTTTGTTTAACAGGTCGGCTCTCGAAATAAAGTTTTGCACTTGGCAAAGTTTTGTATGGAACTTTTTGCTTTCAACAATCTTGGCACATTTATTCTTGATTTCTTGTCAATACTAATCTTATGATTTCTTAAATAAAATATAAGTATACAAAATATATATTCTCATATCATTTTCCTTTTTGATTGTATGTGAATATATATACATATACATAAATATATATATATATATATATCATCGAACTGTATGGTCGGCGTTTTGCATGGCAATTTCTCAGGTATTGTAGCGAACAAATTTCAATCGAAGCCCAAATGAATAAGCGACTAACTTCTCCTCCTCACCTGATTATAGATATTCGTAGTTATTACATAAGTACTCATCTCTTAACTATAAATAAGTATCATCCGGGTTTCTTCCTGCTTCCTTGCTTCCTTATATAACAATCCATTTTATCCATATGTATGTATGTGGGTAGGTACACATGTATATTTAAGCTTTGGTCTAGTTATCGTTTAATATTTCAAAAGTTCACAATATTCGAAAAATTATGATTAAATAAAAAGTTTTTCCTATTCCCATGATCATCATCGGCCCACACGTCACTCGGTCCTCACTTGCCCTCATTTTATTTACATTCCCGTAAGCCTTAGTTCAGGCATGTGTGCGTGTATGTGATTCTCAATCTCCTTCTATTTGCTGGATTCTAGAAATCTTCAGTGTTAACTATCCGTACATACAAACAAATAAATATTATATGCTAAGTTTTGGGCGGTTTTCAACCGATCGTCGCAGTAATCCATCTTAACTTTTAATTAAACTAAGCTCCCTTCCGTATCGTCCATATCGTTGCTGTTTATGGTAGTTGGCACAAGTGTTTTTTAGTGAATTATGCCTATGCTTGATTGAATTTAGATTAACATTAACATTGCCCCCTTGCGTGGGGGCCTTTGAGGCGCATTAGCATTTGCATGTATAATTAGAATACTTGGGTATTTTCTTTCTTTCGGTTTCGTGCAATGGCATTTCTTATGGGTAAGCTGCTACTGCCAGTTGCCGGGTTCAAGGCACAGCACAAGCAAAACATGTAACGAGAAACACGTATATACAGTCGCCACGGCCCTGTTCTCTGCATCGTAGTCTCCTTAGAGTCGCAGCATAGCTATACTAACTCCGACTAGCATCACTGCGGGCAGCATTCGCATCGTACACGCCGAGTTGCTCTTGGAGCCAGCTCCAACACCAAAGCCCGCGCGCACCAAGTCATCCGGTGGCACAACTCCGTCGTCGATTTCCGTGGATTCTGCGGAACGAATCAGTTAATGACTGAAATTTATGGCTGAGCATTTGGATTACCCTCTTGATCCTTGATGAGTATGTCGTGGTCGGGCGAGAAGTTGGACCAGCCCTCGGTATTCTTTGTCTTGATGCGCGCATGCCACAGACCAGGCGTCAGTTCCATTTGATGTGTGATCTTCCAGATGCCCTTGTCCTTGTCGTGTCGCTGTGTGTGTATGATGGATACCGTGCTCCACGTATACGACTGCAAGTGAAGGTAATTAATAGGAGTCTTTGGCTCAGGCTAAAATTTCCTGGAATTCCTTCAGGCTCTTGTGGAATGCATAGAGTTGTTAGACAAATTAGTTATAGAAAGTCAATTTCACATAGTTTCATATGAGACCCAAATGCGTATGCTCCATGAGACTTTGCGAAATTGAAATGTTGTTTCATAAGTCAGCATTGCTTTAAAGAACTTTCCATCTAAGTGAAACCCACCATTGACAGCTTGTAGTCCAGCATGGCCTCGGAGAGAGGCTGGAGACTGCGGACCAGCCAGTGCATTGTGATCTCATTGCCATTGATGGAGCTGTTCTCGAACTGCGGCGTCTCGGGGTGATAGCTCAGCTGGATGCGCACCTCATTGGAGCCAATGGCATTTTCAACGTGGCACAGATACTCGCCCAGATCGCTGGCCTCCACATTCTTGATGATGAGCGTGGTGCGATTGTGCTCCTTGTGCAGCGAGTTCTTGATCGAGTACTTCTCGGACAGGGACAGCGTCTTGCCGTCCTTGATGAAGAAGCTAATGGCAATGGGACTGGCGCGATAGTCACAGTAGAGCTCCGCAGTGTCGCCCTCAATAGTGTTGACGTGATGCCGATGGGTGGACACCTTGGGGCTGTACTGGACATCGATGGTGACCATGCCATGTGGTGGATCCGCGCTGCCATCGTCGCCGAGGCACTGATACACTCCAGCGTTCTCCTCGTCCACATTGTCCAGCACTACGACGCCCTCGGCAGCGTCTTTCTCCGATGTGTGCAGCCGCTGACCCTGCATAGGGAAGGGATTGAGAGAGTTTAGAATGAGGCACAGTTGGAGGATGGTTTCGATGCAATCATCGATCATACATTGAAGGACCATTTGATGTCTGTCTTGGTGTGCAGGAACGTTTGGCAGGTGAGCTTGTGTCGGTCGCCTTGCTTGAACGTCTGCGAGCGATCCGTTGCATCGCGATCGTCGCAGAGGATCGACAGCTTGGCGCCCACACGTAGCGCTGTATGCTGCCTCACGTTCTGCGGCAACACCTCGCAGTAATAGTCGTCCGCATCCTCCTTCGTCACGCCCGTAATGCGCAGCGAGTTGTTCTTCATGACTTCCACACGATTGTTGATCGCACTCTGCCCGGTGGCCAAGAGTGTGGCATTCTTGTACCACAGCGCAATGTTCTTAACTGTGAATCGGAGGCGAATGAGTTATATGGAAGCCAGTTGAAATGATCTACGTACTTGCAAAGTTGCGTGCATCACAATTGATGATCACATCATCACCTGGCCTGGCCTCGATGCTAACATCTGATTGCTCAAAGTAGGGCGGCTCGCTTTGCACCTCTTCCACAATTTCGGCGGGCGGCCCCTCTGAGTTTGTCGACTCGTCCTCGCCATCGTAATCATAATCATCGTCCTGGTAGTCCGAAAGTGGGGCATCCTCTCCGCCAATCGGTGACGCACGACAAATGTCTGAAAGCGAACCAATTGAAAGTGAGCTTTAGATAGAAACCCCAGCGCGTCACCTCACATATGTGAGTCATGTGTTCAAGTTGTTAACTCTCGAGTGTACAACATATTTACATTACTTGTTGACATGGGGTAGCTCTTAATTGGAATTGATAAAACTCACACCCCATTTCACGATACTGAGAAGTCAGCAACAGCAAGCCCAGGTCATATGATCTACAACTTTTAAGGAAATTGACTTGCGAAAAGGGCGAAACAGAGCGGAACCCATTGATGGGCAAACAACGCCTACCTTGACAGGAAATGCCGGCAACAACAAGGCTTGACCCAGGGCAAGCTACAGCTACAGCCAACTGTAGCTACATATCAGCTCAGGCAATACACATTAGTTAATGCCAATTAGTTTTCGTTTATCTAATATAATTAGCCACATGAGTCCTTGCCACACGAATCCTTAGCCTTTCCCATTCTTACTTTTGCCTCATAATCATTCTTGCTTAACTTTAGTCATTAATTTCTTTTAAGCATGTCTCATTCCTGCTGATTAATGCTCTTAGTTTTATTGACTCTATGACGCTGATGACATTTAGCTCTAATCTGGGAGATTATAAATTAGTCACACAGCTGAGTTCGTCTACAGAAATGTAGTTTAAGAGTTGGAGGTGCCGCATTGAATGAATTAAAACGAATTATAAAAATAGTTAAATAAATTAATGATCAAATAAGTTCATTTAGAACCAAGAACCTCATTAAGCATCAACAGTGAACTAAGCTTAAATAGCACCATTTGGTAGACGATGGAGTGGTTGAGTGGCCCTGACCTCACGTCATGGTAATAAGAGCCAAAAGAGTGCAATACACTTGAAGCTGTTAGCTCTTCTAGCCAAGTCAAACTAGCTTCTATTCTCCTGCCTGTTTAAACTCTCTAAATTAGCACCATTTC